GCCATGAGATCTTTTTGCAAAGTGTGTAATGGATTCTCTTAAACCTCCACTATAAGAAATACTATTACACTCTACCAGAAATCTAGTTTGTTTATGTTAATAAAAAACTGAAAATGCGGCAAATAGATAAATTTCAAATAGTCTATTCGCATAAATAAAATTGAAGTGTCTGTCTGTAATATCAAAATAACTAACTAATAATAAATAATAATAATGAGTAATTTGCATACAATTACCATTAACAATCTTTTTTTAATTTTGTCTATTTGTCTGTCTGGACTAAGCTTTGGAATGGATGAAACGATTGTAATAAAAATTCACGAATACATAGAGAGCGATAGCAAGAGTCATCCAGATTATATTATATCTGAAACTAAAAATAACTAATATAAATAACTAAAATAACTATATACGTGGTAGAGCCATGCTGCAGCTATATTAGTGGTATAGTTGTAGCACGAATGGGTCGGCTCGACCGGGGAAGGACCACGCTCTCACAGAATACTAGCGTAAAATAACAGCTTAACAATGCTGTGTTTCGTATGGTGAGTGTACAGAATCGGAGACCCTTTTTTACTGGAAAAAAGGCATTCCATCTTAGTCCTTACGGGTGACAGCGCATCTGCATTTTGATTCGCAACCGAGGATAGATGTAGATGTCTATGGGCCACAGAAACCACTTACCATCGGGTGGATTGTGTGCTCGTTTGTCACACTATTCTATAAAAAAAAACTATAACTAAAATTGATCTTAAATCCAAATAACACGACATTAATATCTCATCCAGATATCTGATATCTGATCCTACCCAGGCGAAGTCAGGGCTAGTCGCTAGTTGTAATTAAATGAATAACAGCATATAGTTTGTCTGGATTTGAAAAATGGTGCAGTTATACTACTTTTCGCAGTCAGAAACTTTCTAAATTTAATTTATATGAAAATTTACTTCAGAATGTATTTGCACGTAAGTAAATTTTTGCAATGTTATGAATAGAAAAAAGGCTTTCTGCAGAAATATGATATCTTTTTGATTTAGGAATTGTATTGAATAATAAATACGAAATATAAGAGTATAGGTAAATCAAATCTACAAATATTAACAAGTATATTATGAGACATTTTAATGGCACGTCTATGTTCAGCACTGAACTTTAATGGGCTGAAATAGTAACGAAACGAATATACAAACTAGCTTTTTTTGCGGTTTTCCTCGCGTGAGATTCGCCTTACCAACATTATTACTATTACATGCCATGTTTCAGCCTGTCTATCACAATCTTTCTATTAAAATTCATAATAATACGTTCACTGTAAAGAAAATTTATGGAATTTTTTTACAGTTCACGCATCCATCCATCCATCCATCCATTACAGGGTTTAAAGGTTCACTGCTGAACATAGATCAACCCCATAGATTGCCTCATAGGGGGTTTTTCCCATAGTTGCCACGCTTAGCAGGCGGGTTGGCATCCACAGTTTTTTTATAATTTTGAATTGTTTGCAGAAAGATACCACTGCCTATCTCCTGTTTCAGTTTCCCTCTGTCGCCTTTTATTATTAATATCTTGATAACATTGCAACTTATCTCGTTTGTAATATTCTTATTTGGTAACATATTATTTTCAATAACAGTCATTTTGATCTATTAACATAGAATTGTTAATAAATTAACTACAGCGCCACCTATCGGATCGTAGCATAGGTATGAATCATCGTCTTGACTAAACAACTATATTGTGTAAATGACCTTAATCGGTCAAGTTGTTCAAAAGTTACACGATCACTAACAGACGCAACAACGGATATCTTTATCAAAAAAAAAATCAAAAACTGTTTATTCTGTAACAATAAATTTACATCATTAGCAGTACACAGAGTTTTCCTTTTAAGTATTTTTCAATACTTGTGACAGGAAAACTCGCTCTTCCTTGATTTAAATACAATACTAGTTACAAGAATAACATAACATTCCTTTCCTTTTCATAAATTAATTATAAAAATCTGTATATGTGTGTGTGTGCACGCGTGTGTGTGTGCGTGAGTGCGCGTGCGCGCCCGTGCTTTGTAGGCCATGTTATTTTAACAAATTTTCGATTTCGTGATAATATTTCCACTTGAGCCATTCAATAAGCACGGTGTAGCAACGAAGTCAAGATTGCACTTTTTAAGACCTACTGCCAATCTTTTTACGCGTGCAGCTTATGGACAACATATACAAAGCGCGCTTACAGTGACCTTCGTGTTCTATATAATAACATTTTCAGAGCCCTGTTGGGGCTGCCTCGCTTTTGTAGCGCATCAGGTATGTTCGCAGAAGCAAGAACAGATGACTTCTTTGCAATAATGCGTAAACGAGTATACTCCCTGTTGATTAGAATGCGTAGCAGCCGCAACGGTATTCTGAACATGTTCGCCGAACGATGTGACGGGCATATGCTAAGTCACTGGAATAGTATATTAAAAAGTAATTTTACATATTTAAGAAACTAACATTAGTATTTAAAGTGTAAAAATGTATTACTAACAAATTATGGATCAAGGTCTGAAATAAAGGAATTATTATTATTATTATTATTATTTACTAGTTTTTGAATAAATATTCAATTCTTTGTTTAAGTAATTGTACAAATAAGAAGACTTTTTAGCCTGTTGCCGCCTAGCAAATGCTGTTTTAACCGGAGCTATGTTAGTTTTTTTCCTTTTATTTTCGAATTCAAGGATATGTGCAAGGGACTTTTGTAGCTTAAGAACTATATTTAAATTATATAACTGGCGAACTTTAAGGAGATCACACAGGGCGTATTAATCTTGTGTTGGGTATTTGTAAGGTTTAAAATTCATAACTTTCAGTAATGATCTTTGATCTCTCTCTAAATCCAAAAACTTTATTTTCGTAGCACCTCCCCATATCCGAGAACTAATACAGTATACCAGAACTGAACTTAAACTGAAGAAACATACACTTCTTTTAACATCTGTGTTGTTGCGAGATGTCTTAAAATTTTGAAAAACCATATGAATTATCTAAACCTTGTCGTTAAAAGTTAGACATATAGATGCCAGGATATACTCTGATCCAATATCGTTCCAAGATATTTTGTGCTAGATGCTTTGTTTATTTGAAGGCATGAGCAGTTAGAGTTATTAATGTCAACACAAGAGTATAATATTAACATTAGGTTAAATCCTATTCTACTTAGTAAAACATACATAGTTTGTTTTAAATGTATTGAGAGGTGGCTTGGCTAACCTTACTTCAGCGCTGTGCCGAACATCTTCCCAGCTTCGACCACAAAATATCAAAGCAGTTTCATCTGCATACGAGAATACGTGCCCATTTTGTAGCGACATTTTACAAAGTGTGTTTACGTAAACCAAAAATAAAGTCAAAAATAAATGCCTAAAAGATTCTCCTGTGGGACACCTTAGGTAATGGTACAGTCATGACTACAGTGCTCTACTATTTTGACCCGTTGTCTACGGTTTCTTAAGAAATTTTTAAATAAATCTAGGGGTTTACCTCGTATGCCTATATGTTCAAGTTTATTTACAAGAGTGGGGAGAGAGACGCTATCAAAGGCTTTTTTTATATCGAGAAAAACTGTTAAACATTTAATATATATAATTTTTCTTCGTGTGTTTATGACTGCCTCTTTCTAAACGGCTGGACCAGTTGATGAATTTTTGTTTGTGTGATTTAATTGATTCAAAAATGGTTTAGATTTACAATTGGACTCCTTAAGTAGCGCAGGTGTCGAGATCCAGAAATCACGAGGGTGGCAATTGGGCGGATCGCTAGTATAGTATTATATAAAATTATATTGAAACTACAAAGATATAATAGCGTCCTAGATGTTATATGAAATAATAAAAATATAATGATAAATTTAAAACTAGCGTAGGTACACATTATTACTATTTTTATGGAACTTGGGAAAACCTAACATTAAAATCAATTGAAATCTTTAACAAAGCCTATTTATTTTTATAACTACGTGGTAGAGCCATGCTGCATCTACGTAGTAGAGCCATGCTGCAGCTATATTAGTAATATAGTTGTAGCACGAATGGGTCGGCTCGACCGGGGAATGACCACGCTCTCACAGAAAACCAGCGTAAAATAGCAGCTTAACGCTGCTGTGTTTCGTATGGTGAGTGTAGATAACCGGAGACCCTTTTTACTGGCAAAGAGGCATTCCATCTTAGTCCTCACGGGTGACAACGCATCTGCATCTTGAGTCTTTATTGAGGATAGATGTAGATGTCTATGGGTCACAGTAACCACTTACCATCAGGTGGACTGTGTGCTCGTTTGTCACCCTATCCTATAAAAAAATAACAAAATTTTCGATCCTTCCCCGATGTCATCACAAGGCTAATTGATATTTATAATTGATAAACCAGTGAAATTTTTCAAATTGTATTTTTAATTTTTACCACGTTTGTATCTCTTGCATTGGCATCCAAATTTGAACTATGTTTAAAATTTCAAGTTTCCAGCTCATCAGGAACTTAGTTAAAAATCAATTACTAAAGTTCACCCGCAACTACAGACAAACAAGAAAGTGACTTTATAAAAACAAATGTATTTAACATAATGGCACTATAAGATTTCCTGTACAGTTTAAACCCTCGAAATAATTATTTGCTGTAGCAATGAAAAGGATTCAAACATAAGCTTAACTTTTTTATAATATTTAAGACAAATCTCATATCAAGTTATAAATGCATACAGCCGAGTTATTAAACAAGAGACAAATAATATCAGAAGGAAACAAATGAACCTCGGCCAAAATTAATGAAGATTACAAAATTCACGGTCATTGAGTTCCGCGTTTCGGCGAACCTTTCTAAGTTGCTTGTTAGGCTAAATTGAGAGAAATAATGGCTCTCATTTGTAAGGTTTAAACGTTTAAATTTCCCTCTCCGCATGTAACAATCAAAACGATTTAAGAATGAATTGATGCACTCTATTAAATTTTAAACTTAAAGTACTTACTTTCTACCCTTTTGGTCCGTGTAGACGATGTGGGTTCTTGCAGCAGGAGTTTGACGTGACCGGCTTAAAGAATGTGGGTCCATTGTAAAAGTTGCTCAGCACATTTCAGTATTACTTTTCCCGCGATAGTCCAACGATGATATGATTTCCATGACGTAACAATTCCGTTTACACTTGTATTGTCAGTGCGCAACCGTGACCACTTTGAAACTGTTTACTTAGTGTCTGTACTTTGAGGTGAAACTATGCGCTAACAGTTTCCCAACTGTCTAGGTTCAACAACTCGACTGGCATGTTTAAGATCGGCTTTCTCTTAACATTGTAAATTTACCGTTTTGACTTCTTCACTATAAAGGTTTCACTCGCTACATTAACTTTGTTTGTAAGTTATACTCTATGTAATATAATATCATTTTAAATAAAATGATACCCAAACAGTTGAATTATAAGTAACTAAAGACTTCTCATTAGAATTTGGAGTCCATTATTGATTTAAATACTTTAATGCAAGTTATTGTTTCCTTTTTGAAATTCTGTAAGCAGATAAGCAAGTGACCTGTACTAAATATAATTTATTATAGGTTTGAAAAGTTAAAATACGTACTAAGGGGTTATTTTCTAAATAAACGACATAACATATGAAATATTATTTAAAGTAGTATATAAGTAAAGTATATAATTTACTCTCAACGAGTAGGCGGAGCAATCAATAAGGCGGGCTTATTTGGTATCGATAAGGAGGAGTGTATGCTTTTATTTATCCGGAGACTTGTTTAACTAAAGTGCGCGAACATATGATCTCGAAGTCGCCAATATTTTTTATTTCTTATTAATATATTTTATTTCTTTTTCCAATCTATATTAACTCTCTATTTCAATTGGAATGTTATATAATACCTTGAAATTGTTTTTAAACTAAACTACAAAATGGCGGTAATGTATAATTAATAAAAACATTGTTTAATAACGAAAACATAAGAAACGCTAAATATTTTATAATTTGAAATGCTTTTTCATTTTATAAATTATACTTTGATATAAAATTAAATGGACTTTAATTAACTGTGCAATGTCGGTGAAACGGCAAATATTCCAGGATCGCTTTGGTTCCCGCGTAGAGCTCCGGATACGCTAACTACGATTTAAATTCTACCTCATTCACTCGTTATGAAATAAAAACTCTTACACAATTTTCGTTAACTACAAATTAAAAGTATTAAAATTTACTCAATTTATATTTCGGTACAAAATTAAAAATTTACATCACATTTTAAATTTTAATTTTTTTTTAATTACAAGCAAGCTTTCATTCAATAAGGAATCTTTCTATGAAAATTATATTCATAATATTGTATTAAAATATTTATTAATACTCACAACGCTATATTCCACGGAAATGTGTTCCGATACTTTTATTTTGTATGAAAAATAATAGTTAGTAAAACAGATGTGTGTTAATTAAAGGGTTTATAATTTTTAAGTAAAGTTTTTCAACACCACCATTTACATGTATTAATGTTAGATAGAAATTAACGTAATACGCTACGTAATAAGTTACGACCGCGGTTTAAGCGCCAACGAAATATTTAGTAAGCTCGTCGCCAAAGCCCGCACCCGACTGAGCTCCATACCCTTTGCTCTAGAATTATTCTGCGGAGTACAGCTTTTACGATCGAACATGTACTCTAACTGATGCAATTAAAGCACAAATTGGACTAAATAAGTACCCAGAAGAGACGCCGACGGCTGCGACCGACAAAGTGTAGAGCACGTCATGAAAATCTAATTCTTCGTACGCGAACATAATGACGGCTTTAGAACTGAAGATGATGTTGAGTTCGAAAGTTTCTTTAGATGATAAAACTGTCGCCTGAAAATCTTTGCGTTACTGAACAGAAGGTTCAATTTTCAGGCAGTGTTTGCAGGACGGAGGCGGTCGTTATGCTTAAGGGGTGGCGCGTAAAATGCGCGCATGCGTCTGCCTCTTGAATAATTCCTTGAACTCTCAACTTCTACGAAGCTCAAGCGATTAGCGTTCATTTTTTTAACTTTATCGTATTTAGAGGTTCGTCTTTTAATACTTCCAAAGACATTACAGAATGTGTATATTTTTAAGAAAATTGGTATGCGTTAGAAGTTTCTTCTCACTTTTGAAAGGTAGCAGGGAAATCTTTACATGTCACTGTTTGATTCCCTAGAATTTAAAGTTTTTAAAGTTTTTGAAGTCCTCCCAATATTTACCTGTACTGAAATTGTTAATCAAATATATTATAATTTCGAATAACAGTTTCTGCGATGCCAGCTAGGATGCCCCCGTACTATGAAATTAAAAACGACACAAATAAAGAGAAATGCTTTATTTTAAATAAAATGTAAAACTTATTTTCATAACTTTAAATATATGTTTATTTTTTATATAAATAAAAGCGACAAAATAGAACTTGACTGTAAGTGGATGCTGCAGCCATACACCTACAAATGCATCAACCCTTGATTAAATTTATATTTATACTTAAGCTTTTACTTGACTTTATGAGAGTTTTCTCATTTATGTTTGGATAGAACTTATAATACTTGGTATAGTGAACACGCTAGACTGGCGGGCGCAGGTGATGTTCTGATAATAATTCTCCCCATCACCAGTTTCGGGTTCAGTATTGTGGAATGAAAAACCCTTTAATTGTCAGTTTTCAGAGAGAATACACATGTTATTATCAGAGGAAAAGACACTTGCTGGAAAACTATCCCACTCCTACGAACGATGAATCAAAGATTTTAGTTCGAAACTCGCCTAGTATCCAAAGGTGGAATTATCAAACTATAAGTGCTCAAACATGCAAATAGAGAAAACAAACAACAGCCACAAGTACATTAATATTGGTACTGAAAACTTTACCATGATTCTGACCGATATCTGCAGCTATAATCGTCTATCCTGCATAAAATGCTATAATCGTTACTGATATCGTAATGAAATATGTTAGGCACGTCAATTTTAAATAAAAAAAAAACAATAATAATGACTTGATACTGCACCCAGATTCTTCTTCATTAGATCTTTAATGGTTACTTGTATCTCCTTCTAATTTCGTATGCACGATAAGACCATGAACGAAAACGTAACCATGATTATTACTTATTGATTCTGCTGATAAAGTTAAACAAGTCGAGATTGGGTAGGTAAACGCAACAATGATGCCGGATGTGCTACACGGTCACTGGTATAGCCTTGAGATTTATTTTGCACGTTGAGATTGGGCAGCAAAAGATAATTATAAATTTAACCTGCAGTATTGTATTGTAAATCTGGTGGCAATTGTGGGGACTTCGTTTTGTAGTTTTACGTTTGGTTTCTTTGTATCGTATGAATGTGTCTGTGAAGATTATAAGTCGATTTTTATTTATTTTAATATCTTATTTTAGGTCACAAAGTATTATTATAATGAAAAAACATAAAGCAAAGGAAGAGTTTGCCACTGGAAACGATTTCCCATGAATATGACGCAATAGCACTCCTGGATCTACTCTCGAGAATTTTTAACGGTTACTAGTATCATCTTGAGATTCAGTATGCACGTTGAGATTTATAAGGATAATATGATGATGATAATCCGATGGCTCAGCCAGGATCGCCTCCTCTCTATAAAGTTTTTTAACGTTTACTGATTTCGATTGAAATTTGGAATTGGACAAAAAACCATAAACATAATGATGATCTAATGCTATAGCCAGGATTATTTATTTTCGATTAAATTATTTAGTGTAATATGGTCTTGAAATTTAGTAAATTATTTATTATACACGTTGTATTGTTAAACTTAGAAATGAAGATATCCGCAGTAGAACCAGAGTAACCGACATAGCTAAAAAGATTAGTAAGTTGAAGTGGCAATGGGCCGGCCATATAGCTTGAAAAACCGACAACCGATAGGGAAAAAAGGTTCTCGAGTGGTAGCCTCGTATTGGTAGGCGAAGTATAAGATGACCCCCGACTAGATGGAGTGACAACCTGGTAAGACATGCAGGAAGTTGATGAATGCGTGCCGCTCAGGACTGTGGTTTCTGACATTCATTGGAGAAGGCCTATGTTCAGCAGCAGATTTGTGAAGGGCTGTAATGATGATGATGATGATACACGTTGTACAAACAATTATAATCATGATGTTGGCATCTTCTTTCCTTGAGGTATCTCCCTAATTTTAACTGGTATCGTCTTGAAGGTATAAACGTTGAATTAAGAATACACTAATATTATTTACGGACAAATAACTATAAAATAACTTGTAATGCGAGTGACTGTGAATGGTACTTGTACTTACACGTACCGTTTTCTTATTTGTCAACAATCCATTTTTTTCTACTCTTGTCAACTTGATTTCAACACGAAATAACGAGTTTACGTGAGCGGGGTTTGTCTCTTGTCAGTTACACATCATGGTTTCAAAAATAAAATTTCTAATGAAATAAGAATGTATTTATTTTGCATGGTGAAAAGTCTCAAAAAGTGGAGTGAAAGTATTAGGTGAAATATGTCAGTTTTAAAAATATTAACCTCATCTTCACCTGATCACACCCAACATATTTAAAGACGAGTCTCTATCCGGTCGATGGCCAGAATTTAAAAAGGCTGCTGATGTGATCTGATGTGATCTGATGTGATATAATATAGTAGTTAAACATTTTTATGTTGCATCACAGCCTAGGGAAAACATCTCCTTAAATTCATGGTACTTAAGTTATCTTAATTCAGATCGCTGAATCCTGACTGGGATCTTGATTACAATGGTAAGCAAAATCATGTGGATCCCTCATCACTTACTAGGACATTTCTTGATTCAATGATGTGACAGCAATGCAGCATACGCTAGTCTTACCAAGCCAATATCGCGTACATATTAGACAATAGAAACTTTTATCATTTGATACGATACGACACACTATCAATAAATTTGTGTCGCATTTTTATTTTTATCAAACGAATTATAGGAAAAGAAAAAAAAAGGAAAAGGGGCATTCACATTAAGAAATAATGTGAATGCCCCTTTTCCTTTTTTTTCATAATCACAAAAACGGGCAAAAAAAA